TGTTCAATCGTCTTGGGCTTTCTTTGTGGCACCTTCCTCTTTATGATGCGCCAAATGTTCTCTATAGGTGAAAGATCTGGACTGCAGGCTGGCCATTTCAGTACCCGGATCCTTCTCCTACGTAGCCATGATGTTGTGATTGCTGCAGAATGTGGTCTGGCATTATCGTGTTGAAAAATGCAGGGTCTTCCCTGAAAGAGATGACGTCTAGATGGGAGCATATGTTGTTCTAGAACCTGAACATAGTTCTCTGCATTAATGGTGCCTTTCCAGACATGCAAGCTGCCCATGCCACAAGCGCTCATGCAACCCCATACCATCAGCGATGCAGGCTTCTGAACAGAGCATTGATAACAACTTGGGCTATCCTTGTCCTCTCTGGTCCAGATGACATGGTGTCCCAGTGTTCCATGAACAACTTCAAATCATGACTCATCTGACCACAGAACAGTCTTCCATTTTGCCACACTCCATTTTAAATGACCCCTGGCCCAGTGCAAACGTCTGAGCTTGTGGAGCTTGCTTATAAATGGCTTCCTCTTTGCACTGTAGAGTTTCAGCTGGCAACGGCGGATGGCACGGTGGATTGTGTTCCCTGACAATGCTTTCTGGAAGTATTCCTGAGCCCATTCTGTTATTTCCTTGACAGTGGCATTCAGGTGCAGTGACGTTTAAGGGCCCAGAGATCACAAGCATCCAGTAGAGTTTTACGACCTTGACCCTTATGCACAGTGATTGTTCCAGATTCTCTGAATCTTTTGATGATGTTATGCACGGTTGATGATGATAACTTAAAAGTCTTTGCTATTTTACGCTGGGTAACACCATTCTGGTATTGCTGCACCATCTTTCTGCGCAACAATGGTGGAATTGGTGATCCTCTTACCATCTTGGCTTCTGAGAGACACTGACACTCTGAGAAGCTCTTTTTATACCCAATCATGTTGTCAATTGACCTAATTAGTGTTAATTGGTCTTCCAGCTGTTCATTATGTGCTCAATTTCCTTTTTCCAGCCACTTTTTGCTACTTGTCCCAACTTTTTTGGGATTTGTTGACACTGTGTAATTTTGAATCAACATATTTTTCCTTTAAAATGTTACATTTACTCAGATTAAACTTTTGATCTGTCATCTATATTATATTACGAATAAAATATTGACATTTGCCATCTCCACATCATTGCATGCAGTTTTTATTCACAATTTGTTTACCTGGATTACCTGGATTATTGAGCATGCATCAGTACAATTTGTTTAGTGTCCCAACTTTTTTGGAATCCGGTTTGCAAATTATTAAAGGCTATGCTTAAGCTATCACTCTCAACATCTACATGAATATTGAAATCACCCATTATGATGATTTTATCAGTATTTAATAGTAAGTCAGTTAATAATTCTGAGAATTCAGACAAAAACTGAGAGTCAGCTCCTGGTGGACGATATATAACAACTAGTAAAAGTGGCTTTTCTGATTTCCATTTTGGATGAGAAAGATTGAGGGACAGCGATTCAAAAGAATCATAACTAATCACAGGTTTGGCATTAATCAATAATCCTGACTGAAAAATAGAAGCTACTCCTCCACCTCAGCCAGTTGTTCTAGGAACATGAAAATTTAAATAATTTATAGGAGTGGATTCATTTATACTAACAACATCCTACTGTTGTAGCCAAGTTTCTGTCAGACACAATAAATCAATATGATGATCAGTTATCAGTTCATTAACTAACAGGGATTTTAAGGAAAGAGATCTGATGTTCAATAATTCACATTTAATGATTTTATGATTTTGCTCTGGTAAAGTAACTGTTTATTTTAATCAGATTTTTATGGTTTATATTTTTACAGCTGATTTTTGGTTTATTTAATTTGAGCCGTGAGCGAGTTGACACTGTTTCAATGGGGGTGTGGGTGGGTAACAGAGGAGAAGCAGCAGAGAGGGTGGAGGACTACAACTCTGCTTCCTTGACTGGACCCTGTGTCACGATCAGCGGCCCCCGCTGACCCCCCATCAGCCCCTGTCTCACACTCACAGCCCCATCATGTCATGTTTCTGCTCCTCTTTGTCATCATGCTGTTTTTTCTTCGGTCATTAGCCACACCCCCCTCTGCACTTTCAGCTCATCAGCCCTGATTACACTCACCTGTTCAGCTCATCTAGTTCACCTGCTCTGCACCCTTTATAAACTCCATTCTCCCTCTCCACCGGGCTGAATTATTATACCTTCCGTGGTCCCTGATTCTGAAGCCTTTAATCATAGTATCCTGTTTCATGCCATGCATCCTTGCCTTGACCCCTCACCTGTTTTTGGACTCCTCGCCTTGCCTGCTCCTCTTGGATTTGTTTGCCTCTCTGGCCATGGTAACACACCCTGTTTCCTCTACTAAACCACGCTTCACGGATTACGTTTTTGGATTTTGTATGTGGACCTCTGTCTTCCTGTTCATGACCACTGCTTTAACAACCGGACCCCGTTATTGGATTTGCCCCTCAAACCACGTTATTTCAGCTGCTCTGCACAGGACCAGTGACATCATCACTGCTGTCCTGACAGGTGACTCTCTCCCTACAACCTGTGAGGACCTTTTAACACGGCTGATCCTGACTTCTCACCCACAGCCAATAATAAAAACTGTTCTTGTTTTTGCACGCCTTTGTCTGGCTATATTGAATCCAAAACCTTGGTTCGTGACAGAATAAATCAGCCAATATGGATTCTAAGCCAGACCAGAAGTGGCTCTCAGGGGTCGAGAGCTCCCTTACACGTCTGGACACTCAGTTACAGATTGTTAAAACTATGCTCTGTGCCAGGTTTTGCCTACCCACCCCAGTGACTTTTCATAGCTCATCGCCTGCTGCAGCTCTGACCCCATCGCCTGCTGCAGCTCTGCCTCCACGCCACCTGCTGCAGGGCAGCTCTGCCTCCACGCCGCCTGCTGCAGGGCCCCAGGCCTCCACGCCGCCTGCTGCAGGGCCCGAGGCCTCCACGCCGCCTGCTGCAGGGCCCCAGGTCTCCACGCCGCCTGCTGCAGGGCCCCCAGGCCTCAACGCCGCCTGCTGCAGGGCCCCAGGTCTCCACACCGCCTGCTGCAGGGCCCCAGGTCTCCACGCCGCCTGCTGCAGATCTGGTCCCATCTCGAGGTCTTGGAGGGTCGCCCGGCCTTTTTCTCTGGTCATTGCCAATTGTCGGATGACCTCCTGGCCGCCCACCCGACTCTTGCTAGTTCTTTGCTGGTAGGTCCGTCAGGATGCCGGACCTTAAAGGGGGGGCTATGTCATGATCAGCGGCCCCCGCTGTCCCCCCATCAGCCCCTGTCTCACACTCACAGCCCCATCATGTCATGTTTCTGCTCCTCTTTGTTATCATGCTGTTTTTTCTTCTGTCATTAGCCACACCCCCCTCTGCACTTTCAGTTCATCAGCCCTGATTTCACTCACCTGTTCAGCTCATCTAGTTCACCTGCTCTGCACCCTTTATAAACTCCATTCTCCCTCTCCACCGGGCTGAATTATTATACCTTCCGTGGTCCCTGATTCTGAAGCCTTTAATCATAGTATCCTGTTTCATGCCATGCATCCTTGCCTTGACCCCTCACCTGTTTTTGGACTCCTCGCCTTGCCTGCTCCTCTTTGATTTGTTTGCCTCTCTGGCCATGGTAACACACCTTGTTTCCTCTACTAAACCACGCTTCACGGATTACGTTTTTGGATTTTGTATGTGGACCTCTGTCTTCCTGTTCATGACCACTGCTTTAACAACCGGACCCCGTTATTGGATTTGCCCCTCAAACCACGTTATTTCAGCTGCTCTGCACAGGATCAGTGACGTCATCGCTGCAGTCCTGACAGGTGACTCTCTCCCTACAACCTGTGAGGACCTGTTAACATGGCTGATCCTGACTTCTCACCCACAGCCAATAATAAAAACTGTTCTTGTTTTTGCACGCCTTTGTCTGGCTATATTGAATCCAAAACCTTGGTTCGTGACACCCTGGGTTGTCAATAATTTGGGGGATAAACAAAATCAGCCATATTTCTAGAAAGAAGAGCGGCTCCGTCCAAAGTGGGATGGATGCCATCTCTCCGCATCAGACCAGGTTTTCCCCAGAAAGAACTCCAGTAATCTATGTAGCCCACATCATTGTCAGATTACCACCTGGACACCCAGCGGTTAAACGATGACATACGGCTAAACATGTCATCGCTGGTCAGGTTGGGGAGGGGGCCGGAGAAAACTACGGAGTCCAACATGGTTTTAGCAAAGTCACACACCGAAGCAACATTAATTTTAATGACCTCCTATTGGCGTAACCAGGTGTCATTACCGCCAACGTGAATAACATTCTTACTGTATTTAGCCTTAGCCTTAGTCAGCAGTTTCAGATAAGATTCTATGTCGCCCGCTCTGGCCCCCGGAATGCATTTGACTATGGCCGCTGGAGTCTCTAAAGCCACGTTTTGGACTATGGAGCTTCCAATAACCAGGGTCTGCTTCTCAGCGGGTGTCACTGAGTGAGGAAAATCGATTAGAAACGTGAACGGATCAGTGGTGAACTGGGGGCTTAGCCTTAGCACTACGCTTGCTCCGGACCGATATATACATACGTACATGTTGTACTCATATATATATATATATATATATATATATATATATATACATACGTACATGTTGTATTCATACTGTACATGTTGTACTCATACATACATATGTACATGTTGTACTCGTACATGCATACATACATACATACATACATACATACATGTTGTACTCATATATACATATGTATATGTTGTACTCGTACATGGCTGCTGTACTCATGCGTACATGCATACTTTAAGTGTATACATTCTGTAAGTATGTTCAGTGTGCTGTCAGATGCTGATTTTATGTTCTGTGTACTCCTACACTCTGTATTTGTTCTAAATCTCCATAAATCCCTGTATGTTCAGCTTCAGTTGCTCAAGCAGTAGTACTCTGTGGTACTGTTGTTTTTCAGGTCATCCAAACCCTGAGAACTTTGTGTGGGAGGACTATCTGCAGGAAACTGGTTCCACTGCTGTTCCCAGTTCAGCTTTCTCTCTGGTGAGGAGGACATTCAGTTAGAACTTGAATCAGAAAGCTTCTTGTGATGACTGACAGCTGTTTCTGTCCCATCAGAGAGCTCCACATGGTTTCCAAGTGAACCACAGGTTGGAGGCCGTCGACAGGAGGAACCACATGCTAATTCGTGTTGCCACAGTTACCGACACAGAAGACTACAGGATGAAGGTACTGTACTGTGTTTGTTTTTACGTGTGTACCTGGATGTACTTACCTTGGTACAGTATGTACCTGTCTGATGTGTGTGTGCTTATATTTGCCAGTTGTTTACCTGTGTGTGTGTGTGTGTGTGT